GCACGACATACTATTCCGACAGACGATTGATTGTAGACCCGGCCTTAGAAAAAGCAAGCAGCTCGATTTATCAGATGTTTTATCAGATCCTGTCGTGGCTTTTGGAGAAAGGTAAATTTAATTAGTTATAGATTATGTATAATACATTTCTTAGTTTACATTTCTATTATTTTTGAATAATAACTTCAAATAAAGCAAATAGATATAGATATATGATAACATCTCTAGTGTGCACAGTCGAAGTTCGAAGTTCTCCGTTTAATCTGATATATCCGCACGTTTTTTGTTATATTTATTATGTCTATATCTACATATGTTTCTTTGTATAATTAGACATCATAGACGCTCCAAACTTTAACTATAACATTTGTGCGATCATAACATGTTTGAGCATTTGTTAAGGTGCCTTTTCACGTTAACGCTCGACGCTTATTTTTAGCAAGTAAAAATCTTCAGAAATAATATCTTTTATTTATATATATATCCATAAAATATTATTACTTGAAGATATTACTTGAAAATAATTAATATTTTACGTATTTTGAAGTCTATGTTTGATTGTACTGGGACGATTAACGACGATTCAGCGACGACGCTGAATATTAAACAAATTCAACTTCATTTCTTTGACGCTAGCGTCAAAGCGAAACCACCACGTTCACCTTGTTGACGCTCATTTTCAGCGTCTCATGAATTGGCACCTTTATATTTTTATCATATATTTTTTTCTTTATTTATTCCTTTGTACAGTACAGTATTTTAATTTTTTTTTACACAAAACGTAAATTCTCGAAGATATTCTCTCTCTCTTTCTATTAAGTAATCTTTAGATTCAATTTTCAGATTTATAAAATAAATATATAACGCGCTAAAATAAATTCCGAAAAATCAGAGTTGCATTTTTACAGGTACTTCTTGTCTCTTCAACTTTTTTTTTGTTTTATCCTACCTACGGCGGTACCAGTATATTTTTGGAACGAGACTTGGGGTAGAGCCATCATGTCGCAAGTATTCATACGATACATGATTACTACGCACTCCGTGTGGACTGTCAATAGCATTGCTCATGCATGGGGCACTAAACCATACAACAAGTACGTAATTTAAATGTATACTTAATCGCGATATAATTTACAATTTGCATTTTTATAGAGTTACACGCGTGGCAAAAGTAAATCATAAATATTCATGATTTTAACGTATTTATTTATTAGCAGATAATTTTCTTGTAACAAAATATTGAAATATAATTAACATCTTCGTGAGGATATGTGAATGCATATTTAGTGATCTCAATTCCAGGCAGCACATATGTCTAAATGATATCGTAAAGATGTTTTTTCGACGTCTTTTAGACATACGCACAGTCTGAGATTTTTTATATAATTATAAGCAGTATTAATGTTTACTTTTATTATGAGAGATATTCATTTAATGACACAGTTTCTGCTTTTAGGAATATAAGACCGTCAGACAACAATTTTGTTAACTTCGTGACAGTAGGAGAAGGCTATCACAATTTCCATCACGTGTTCCCGTGGGATTACAGGTCGTCGGAGAAGGGAAATAACGCATTCAATTACACCACTTTCTTCATTGATACTTGCGCGAAATTAGGACTAGCTTATGATCTTAAGTACCCGTCCGCGGATCTCATAAAAAATGTCATACTGAAGACAGGTGACGGGACCCATCCCATAATGTCTGAAATACCGAGGCCGGAATCGGATTAAACAACGGATATATTTTAAAGACGCATAAACTGTAATGATTTACAACTACCTATGTATGTACAATGTAAACTACATTGTTTGATATATTTATGTAAAACATGAGTAATCTATGGAGAGGATCATCGAAAATTTATATTTCGTCAGCAACATCGGTTTTTATAATCTTGTACTTTGTCGCAATTTTATTTTCATGACGCTATTATTTAGCTTGGATTGATAATTTTTAAGACGTCAGAGAAATAAACTTTATGCATATTGTGCGTTGCTACAGTGAGCTTAAATAATGCCTACTGCTTTTTATTGTTTAAAACCTCATAGAGAGATCAACGTAAATAATAATATTTATATATATTAATATTATGCGTCTGTTATATTTGTACAGTTAATAAATAAATTAACGTTGGATTGCATCTAATTTAATCTAGTTTAAAATTACCCTTTATTTCTGTAGAATTGTTTGGCAAAATACAGTTTAAAATAATCAATCAATCAATCATACAATTTATAATAATTTATAACAATTTACATTGGTTTTATTGCTTACATAAAAAAGATTCGTGTAAACATAAACGTAAACAATACCTAAATAGTATCTATTTAGATATAATCTTGAAGTTTACGGCACAATCCTAAACTTTTTATCTTACTAAATCAGTATTTTATTACCAACAGTAAAAAATTTATATATTTACACTAAAAGCTATGAAAACTGGAAAATTAATAATAATGTACTATAAATAAAAAATTTAGATTTAGTTGAGAAAATAATTTATTAATTACATATTATGATAAGACGTTAGAAGACTGCCAATTTTGATGAAATTTTACAGGTATGTAATATTATATACTTACTAAATGTGATCGAAACCACTAGTACGAAGTTACGGAAATGTATAGTTTCTGAGAAATTCAAATTTTAATTATTTAAACTAAATTAACGTTTTTCAAGATTTTGATATAAAAAAATAATTAGATTTTAAAAATATTTTGCTGACATTTATTTTATTTTATTAATATATTAAAAAACTGTACGTACAGTGTTGTTAAAATATCGTATCGTAATAGGTAGCAAAAAATGGTAGATACTTATTAATTTTACGGGCCAGTTATATGGTTTAATTTTTTTCCTACTTGAAAGTACAGCAATTATTCTTAACATAAAATAGCTCCACAAAATGGATACATAAGGCTCTGCTGAAAATCCACGAATAGTAGAGCTAAAGTCACGCTGGCTGAATGTATGCGTACTATTACTTTTTTTCAATGCATTAACAGTTTGCTGATATATATAATGGTTCAAAACGTGTAGTGTTGTTTAAATAAAGTTGGCCAGTTGAGTCGAATAAACAATACCTAAGCTGATTTTTTTATTATTTACTGGCGATTTAAATTCTCATTTTGGGTGTTTTTACTTGAAGGTCCATAGAATTTAGTGTAATTGATGTATAGATTTTTTATTCATGTCAAGGTAAAGCTTTATTATATAGTTACAATTTGTAGATTTTGTAATTTCAATAAGTTTATAAACGTAAGTGTTATATTACTTTAAAAAGAAAACGAGATTTGGTTTATCTCTCCCCAAGAGATAGGAGACATGATCCACCATATAGGTAGATTTGACCATTCCCTATAAACTTATGAAAAAAATAATAAATATAAAAATATTTAGACTACAATTTATATTAAGAATTCACAAATTTAGACATTAAAATCACATCTCTAATGTTTTCATTGAGCTTTTTGGACAAAGAGCTCAATCCGAGCACATTAAAACATGTTTGTCTCACTCGCAGTCGAAACGCACTACCGAGCGTCATGTTGTCATGTGACATAGTAGCGGCCGATGACCCGTATGTCGCAACTTAACAATTGCGCGCTTGGCTCGAAATCTGAACGAGATATTTGAAATGGTTCAACTGTCCTTTATGGTCAAATCTCCCGGACTCACCCAATATGCATCTTATGATTAGAACGTATTTAGATTAACTTCGTTAATATGTCCCTGCAATGTCCAATTCTTTTTGCTTCAAAATTTTTTGGCGTTTTTTTATTTCAGGCATTTAAATCTAATAACTCTAGATTTACCTGGCCTGCGTAGTTACATTCTGCGTGTATCTTAAATTACTTGTCGTTAAGAGTGTTGAATTAGAAATGTGCCTAAGATTGAAGACCGAGAATCTATGCAATAGACGTAAAAGTCTACGTTTCGTTCTCTGCCATCAGCCTAACAGATTATGCCGCACGTACGTCATTTGGCGCGTAGATTATTCTAGAATCATTCTAGGATATTTGACTTTCATATCTTAATGTCATTGACTTTATTGCATATTCAATTGTGATCGCGATCGTGAACCTGATCGCGATCTGACCTATTGGGATTTTCAGTCGTGACATCACAAGGCCAAGATGGCTGCCCGGGAAAAAATATTCATATATGATCATGTATAATCATATATGATTGGCCATATATGGTCAGATATGGAAATTGGCCAGATCTGAGGATATATGATCTGGTATTATTGTATATGTTAATATCTGATCAGATATGATCAGGTATGATCAGATACGAACTGACACAGTTCAATCTGGACATATATATTTAAGTAAGTTTTAGAACATTGTTATATATTTTCAAAAGTTATTTTTTAAGTGTGCTACTTTATTATAAAAGTGAACTCCACGATACAACTGATACAAAGATTGTGCCGCTTCATAGCGCAAGACAGTGTCGTGTCTTTTGATACCATTCTTATAACACTGTTGATCAAATTTTAAATACGAGAAACAGATCCCATCGAATGCCATTTATCGGATACTTTGAGATGCAATATCTGATCTGATCATATATAATCTTATATGACTATATAAGTTCATATATGATTATATATGATTTTCAGTTTAAATTATAAGATATTATGTTTGCAAAATAATACGATTAATATATTTATTTATAAGAACTATAATATACATTATATAACAGTTTTTTTCACGAAGGTAAAATTTCATTGTTTATAAAAATATTTGATAAAAATTAATATGTCAATTAAAAAAGATTAAGTGTCTTATGCAAAATTAGAAAAAAAGAAAAATTTTAAATAACACAAGCAATGAGATGCCGTTTTTGGTCGAAGTGGATCTGGGTGCTTAATAATATTCACAATATCAATTATTATTAAATATATTTTTCAGTTTTTTAAACTGCGTGCCAATATGGACTTTGTCGGACTTAAAACACATATATACATATCTATACTATTATATAAAATCCTTACGGGTGGTGTATGTTTGAACGTTAATAACGTGAAAACTATTGGACCGAATTTTTACCACAAGTACATGAAATAGGGCTAGAATTTTCCGGGGAGTGCTATAGAGTGTGTAGTTTTTTGTTACCGATTTTCTGAAAACCGATTTTTTTAATTTTTCTAATTCTTACGGGTAAAAGAATTAAAAAAATCGGTTTTCAGAAAATAG